CTTGCTCTACGCAACATGCTATTGGTCTCGATAGACCTATCGTACCATGAAACACGTCCTCGGAAGCCGGATAGGATGTGTGCATGCGAAGCCAGGTTCCAGCGCCCGCGACAACTCCGCACGATAACATGCAGAAACGGTTTGGCTTGGCACCGCGGATTTTGCGAGGAGAAAATCAGCCCATTGGCTGCGTCGACTTTGGCTATCTTTATTTCTTCGAGGACAAAAGCGCACGTGAGGCGCCGTTCATGTATGAGGCGAAACAATCGAGACGAGGGTAGGCAAGCAGGTCCGAGTTTCGAAACTTGTTCGGCATGGGCTCGAGCCCGTATTGTGCCAGGCCGCAGTGGCGCAGCGAGCTCCCATTGTTGCTGGATGGTCGAGAAGCAGCACCTTTGGTAAAAAAGATTTTTTTTTATCCCTGAACCTGCGCGTGCTGGTCGAGTTCCGCTGCAGGCCTCTCCCCGCATTTCGAACTTTTGGTCGCCTGATCGGCTTCCACAGCTGAGCTGCAATTTCGTGCAGCCTCTTCGCCGCGCCACGCAGATTGCAGCGTGTGCCCCACGTTCAGCCATGGGTGGCGCAGATGATTGGCGCTCCCCCACTGCCATCTTCTGCGTCCAATCAGATACAGAGTGGCGTATCTTCCAGCAGGAGCTGATGCTGAGCAAGTGTCGCCAAGAACATCGTGTCTCTATCGTGCAGCTGTTTGGGACCTTTGGCAAGAGCGTCGGCTGGCGTCAGGACAATTTTCTGGAAATTTGGATAATCGGAACCGGAAGCAGAAAAGGTTCTGTGTGGTCCTTGCGGGATCGATCGCCCAAAAGACCAATTTTTGCGGGGTTTGAGCTCATCACGGGTCCCGTGCCAGCTTTCCTTGTCCGCCCTGTTGCAACATCGTGCGCTCCCGACGACAAGAAGTTAGCGGAAGAACACGTCTCTAGTGCCGATCGACGGAGCACTGTGTCCGTAAGCGAGTTGAGTGCGGGGTAACATCCGGAGCTCAAGGTTGTTTGTCTGACAGTGAAATGGTTGCTTGCCCCGCAAATTGGTTCCTGACGTGCAACGTTGGAAGGCGTGATCACGGGGCCAGGCTCGTGTGGTGCATCCTAGAGATAAAAGGGACGAACCGTGCCATGTGCAGGACGAGCAACGGCCAGCTGACCATGCTGCTTTTTTGTTGGGATGAGGCTTGGGTCCCTTTGAAGAGACGGAATGGCGTTTCCGGACAACAAGAACGCTAGGTTCTAAGCCCCTCGCACAAGAGCCAGCCTATGCAAGGAGCAGATCGAATTCGTGCTTTGCATCGGCGTGCTAGCAGCCGGTTCCTGTTTAGCTCGCGTATAGCTCGCTGCGAGTCGGCTGGAAGTTGAAGCTCAAAGCGAGATCTCAGCCTCTCTGAGAAAGCATTGCGCGCACTGGACTTGACTCGGTGTCGGGAAGGCGCTAGGCTTGCAACTCGGTTGTACGCAGGCGAGGCTGGTTGACGAGAGACGTGGGCGATTGCCGCTCTCGCATGTTCACGACTCGAAGCGACGACCTTGCGCACGCTAAATTTGTAGAAAATCGGGCCCGATCTCTAGAAAACAGCTGGAAGCTTCTCTCGCCTACGGCTGGCGTGATCTGGCAAATTGGGTCAGTCTGACGCGAGGACGACGCAAATGGACTCCGGATTGGCTCGATCCACCAAACGTGCCCTTCGGCGTCACGTCACGGTGTGGCTTGAAGACGAGAGCACGTTCTTCCTTTACTCGGTTCTTTTTCGCCGGCTGGCTTACACTTCTACGCAACTCGAAAGCTTCTACCCTTGGCATTCATCGTCGCCGACGCATCGTCATGGCCGCACCAGCTGTTGTCGGTCCATGGTAGCGCTAGTGGGCATCGACTTGTGCAAACGGTGACAACTGAGCCCGGAAGCAAGCAAGAAGGACCAACCCTTTTTCCAGTTGATCGACGTTGTTCTCAAAAGGACGCCAAAAAATGGCAAAAAAGGCATCCAATTTGGTTGCACCTGGCTGTGCTCTTCGATGGTCACAACGCCGGTCAATAGGATTTTTTTTTGGCTAAGTGGAGGCATATACACAGCACAGCACAGCGCAGTGTGATTATTCGAAAGAAAGGGATTCAGCTTTTCGGCACGCTTGACGATCGAGCTGCACGTTCTTCTGCGAGAGTACGCTAAACCTACTCCAAGAATAGATTCAAGAAAAAGTGTGACTGGATACAGCAACGCAGAGCTCAATGTGGATGGTCACCTTTTTCGGTTGCTAGGCTGCGCTTCATGTCGAATAGTGACCTTGATACGGCCAGCTGACGCTAGCTCAGTATGGATCGCAGCGTGGAAACAGCTGGGAGCCAGCAGGGTAGCGGCGTGCAACTGCTAAGGTAACCTGACACGTCGATACGCCTCCCCAGCTTGCTTTTTGCGTGCGAACCCTTCGGATCGTGGCGTCGCTAAGCTAACAGAAGCCAAAGTCTCAGCCCGGCATCGAGCCACTCGGATCGAACAAGTTTTGTTTGGATCGGCGCCCTTTTCCGCATTTTTCCATTTCCGCTCTTTCCCGGTCTCTCTACCTCAGAGCGAAACGTGTGCAATCCGCACGCCAGCACGTTGATGTAAGGTGACACGCGCCACGGCACGATATCTCGCCTTTGTCATCTCGTCAAGTTAGCAAGACCGGGCCGAAATGAAAAAGCGTCGATGTGCAGATGTAAGAGCCGAACTTGCTGCCGTCAGCTGGGTCGAGATCGCGAAGAGCAACGACGCAAGGCTGAGTGTTCCTATCACCTCGGCAACCTCGGCTTAGTAGGGCCTGGCGAAGGACCAAAAAAAAAAA